AAGATTTTAACCACTTATCACTATCAATCCTTTTTTTTTTTAGGTTAATTGATTTAACATCATTGAGCTTAAAAGTTGAATTTTCCTGACCGATAAATCCCGTCAAATCAATACAAGTTCAATAGAGTTCAAATCACAATGGTGAGGGGGAATCTCACTACTTCATATCCTTTCATTTTGAAGAATTATCTACCTTATATATAGGGAGAATGTTCTTAGATTTAATTATTTGGTATAACTTTGGTTTTGTAAACTTGCTGTAAAATTCGACACCATTTTTATCTAAAAATTTCTTCATACCGTCTTTTCTCGAGTTGGATGTTGGAGGTTTCGTACCCTTAACACGGATACTGGTATGATGCATTTTCCATGACTACAATACTTTTTGGGGGCAACCAATTGTTCAATTGTTTTACAATTCATTCCTGTATGGTAATCCTGTCTATCTGTGCTCATACCCGTAAATACTCAATCGCATCCTTTAAAAAAAAAAGTTTACAACCTGCATGTACAGCCCTTGGATGGTGTAAACTTCCCAAAAAAACGTGTATGGTGTAAACGTCCCAAAAAAACGTGTATGGTGTAATGGTGTATACCATATGGTGCAATGGTAGAAGGTGTATGTTGCTATGGTGTGTGAAGTAAGGGGATGGTGTAATGGTGTAACGTGCGATCGGGAATGGTGTGAATGAATGATGTACGACATTTAAAACTATGCAAAATATTGATAAGAACTGATATTTAATCTTATACATTAATTTACAATATTATGATCAAAGTTGGTTTTTTAAAATAAATACATAATTTTGTAGTCGCACGCTTTCTTTGAAATTATGGTGTAATGTGTAAGGTGTATGGTGCAAAGGTGGAACGTGTATGGTGTAATGGCACAGGGTGTATGGTGTAATGGTATATGCTGAATGGTGTAATGGTGTATGGTGTTAGTGGGAAGTTTACACCATCCAAGGACTGTAACACATCAAATCTTGTCCTTTACCTATAGGAATTTTTGTATTTTTCGATTCATCAGAACAAGTCCATTGATGAAATATAGTATGATTTTTGTCCACCCATGACTCATCCAAATAAATAGTTGTGTACCCTTCTTCGCGTATTTTTTTCATAATTATTCTTAGAATTGGAAATGTTGATTTATGATATCTTTTCCTTCCACAAGCCTTTTTATGTTTTTATCAACTTTTTATATTTGAATCCAAATCCATGTAAGGTTGTCCTTAGCTTGAACTTAGATAAAACAAGATCATGGTCTTTCTCCAAAAAGATTTTTCAGTTTTTGTAAGGTAACACATTCATTTCTTTCGTAATAGCTTATGAACAGTAGTCTTTCTCAAGTCTTTGACACACTTGGTCAGCATATCCTCTCTGGGTGCTTTTTTTAATTTAGATTTTCTCCAAAAAATCAATTTGTTAATAAAACTTTCACTTATCTTTAAACATTGAGCAGTTCTTTTTGTAACTTTATTCCAGGAATCAAATGGAGCTCCTCGCTTTGACTCTGCATTACAATAATTAAACACTTAAAAATAACATCCTTTCATTCTTTTGAAATTTTGGGTGGCATTTTAATTCCTTTATTGAAATGTAAGTAGGGGAGACATTTAATAACAATACCAAAAAAAATGAAAGATTTTCTTCAGCCATAAAGATCTTCATTAAATTGTTACTTTCGAAATTGGAATTTTCCTATTTAAATTTTTTTTTTTTTTTTTTTTTAATTATTTTGCCTCAATTGCTTCCAAGATGTGATTTATTAATAACTCAATGTATATTGATTTTTTATTCTGCATTTTAATAAAACTTTTCAGAACCTGTTTTTCTTGTTATGAAACTCATCATACTAAAAGCATGAAAAGTCATAGAAATATTAAATCAATCAAAGACAAAATATTAAAAAAAAAAAAATTAGGAATTAAAAAAAGAATATCTAGTAATTATAATTTTGTTTCCAAAATCATCTATGAATATAAGTAAGTTTACTTATACAATGATATAAAATCAATAATCAAAACTATAGTGATGATAATTTTCTTTGATGTTCTTTTATATCTAAAAAGGTATAGTCACATGGTTTTAAAGAAACAAACATTCAAGGCACATGTATTTTTTTTTTATTGGAAGGCTGTTACACTATGTATTCGTACTCCATCAGGTAATCAACACTTCAAAAAATGAAATTAGCATATGAGACATAATGAGAAACTTTTTTTTATCATAGACAAAAACAATTATGACATTAGTATCCAGATTTGGTGTATCTCATACTTCAACGTACATCAGGAAAAAAATATTAATTTGAAAAAAATAATTTTTTAAGAATTTTTTTCTGCAAATATATAGAGGTCAAATGGTCAATATATATAGTGGATCAGAGCAATCGATTTCATTGTTATCAATTAATTTATTATTTCCTTTTGTCGTTAAAGTAATGCGTATCTTCATTATGCCTTGTTTGCAGATCTAAAATTGAAAAAAAAAGAAATCAAACGAACAAGATAGGGTTTTTCCTTTTGTCATTGTTGTAAAAAAAGTCTATTTTGTACTATTGGAACTAAAAACAAATGTAACCATAATATGAAAAAAGACATTCGCAATTTTGAAAATGTACTGTGCAAATTGTCAATAAATACACGAATGAATTGAACATAACATTGGTCATGTTGGTGAATTAAATACCTATGAAGTATTAATAAAATTGAGAATGGAAATGGGGAATGTGTCAAAGAGACAACAACCCGACCATAAAACAGACAACAGCAGAAGGTCACCAACAGGTCTTCAATGCAGCGAGAAATTCCCGCACCCGGAGGCGTCCTTCAGCTGGCCCCTAAACAAATATATATACTAGTTCAGTGATAATGAACGCCATACTAAACTCCAAATTGTACACAAGAAACTAAAATTAAAAATAATACAAAACTAACAAAGGCTAGAGGCTCCTGACTTGGGACAGGCGCAAAAATGCGGCGGGGTTAAACATGTTTATGAGATCTCAACCCTCCCCCTATACCTCTAGCCAATGTAGAAAAGTAAACGCATAACAATACGCACATTAAAATTCAGTTCAAGAGAAGTCCGAGTCTGATGTCAGAAGATGTAACCAAAGAAAATAAACAAAATGACAATAATACATAAATAACAACAGACTACTAGCAGTTAACTGACATGCCAGCTCCAGACTTCAATTAAACTGATTGAAAGACTATGTCTTCATCATATGAATATCAGGCACAATCCTTCCCATTAGGGGTTTAGTATCATATCATCATAACATATATGAGAAGAACATAACCCGTGTCATGCCAACAACTGGTTTTAAAATAAATGTGTTTAGTGCCGATGCAAAGACCCTATAAGTGAATCAATATTAACGCCAAAATATGCAATCTTTAATGACCTGACAACAGTATCGTAACTATATCCCTTCTTAATAAGTCTATTTAAAGGTTTTGTTAGCTTCAGAGGTGAATACTGACATTTTTGTGCTTTATAAAGAATATTTCCATAAAAAATTGCATGTGAAATACCTGAACGTATAAGAAGTCTGCATGTTGAGCTATATTTACGAATGATGTCCTTATACCGATGATAAAATTTAGTAAATGTTTTGACTAGTTTGTGATATCGAAAACCCTGGTGTAATAATTTTTAAGTACATTATTGAGGCATTCGAGGCAAAACATAACAGACCTTGTATAAAAATCTGCCTCCCTTGTCAATAGACGTAAAACATTGCATTATTACCTAAACATTTACTACTTTTTTTTTCTTTTCATGTTGACAGTTTAACATAAGAAGCTAGAATCTCAACTTCTGAAAATGTTAAATAGAATAGTAAATACCTCCTTTTAATTAATACTCAATTCAAAAATAAAACTGAATTTAAACCAAAAAATGCTTTTCAACCAAAAACAAATATCGTTGTGGTGAACACATATAGGCTAACATTAGTCTGTTGTTATTTATGTATTATTGTCATTTTGTTTATTTTCTTTGGTTACATCTTCTGACATCAGACTCGGACTTCTCTTGAACTGAATTTTAATGTGCGTATTGTTATGCGTTTACTTTTCTACATTGGCTAGAGGTATAGGGGGAGGGTTGAGATCTCATAAACATGTTTAACCCCGCCGCATTTTTGCGCCTGTCCCAAGTCAGGAGCCTCTAGCCTTTGTTAGTCTTGTATTATTTTTGATTTTAGTTTCTTGTGTACAATTTGGAGTTTAGTATGGCGTTCATTATCACTGAACTAGTACATATATTTGTTTAGGGGCCAGCTGAAGGACGCCTCCGGGTGCGGGAATTTCTCGCTGCATTGAAGACCTGTTGGTGACCTTCTGCTGTTGTCTGTTCTATGGTCGGGTTGTTGTCTCTTTGACACATTCCCCATTTCCATTCTCAATTTTAACATTAATTCATTTCAATTTGGTAAACTGCTGGTAACCATTTTATATACAAACATTTCTACCTTTTGAATCGATCACTTACATCGTACCTGTTGTAGCCGTTGTCACATGTAGGTGTAGACAATTGTTGTAAAGGTCTAATAAAGCGGCTGTTTTAATTAAAGCTTCAAAATAATAGTTAGTGAATATAAGGTAATTAAACTCATCATAAGTAAAGATTCTTGGAGAAAAACGAAGAAAAGGAACAACATATGATTTTGGCTTTGAGCATCACTGAAGTGAAATTTATACCAATTATCTGTATCCATCAACCAAAGTTACGCCCAGATGGTAATCAATTATGTTTAAACTTTCTGATAATAAACATTGATATATAATATGAAAAATTACTGTTCTGTCACACTGTATGTTGTTTGGTTACCATGGCAACAGAGATTAAATTTTAGCAAAAAAAACCCCCAATTTTCGGGATTCCCTGCTTAATCACTTATACATGTATATTATATCATATGTTTGTTAAAGTTCATAACATTAAAACTAACAAATTATAGTGTAATGACTTTTATTTACCTTTTTCTTTTAATTTACACCAATTGTGTCTTCATCGGGTAAACATTATGAATTTAGGCATATGTTTAGGCAATTATGTTCACTGAATTACAAAAGACCGTATCAATATATCTTAAATGTCTTCTTTTCAGCTCTCTGTAAAAAAAACCAATTGAGACAAATATTAAACGCCTACATTAAACAGTATATCACGTCGGTGATTTCAAGTTTAAAATAACATCAATGGAAGCGTATTTTAATGGTAAACATTTTATCTGCTGTTCAGTGCATTTTGAACAAAAAACAGTGTTTGCTGTAATGTCTCGCTAGGGTGTCGCTGTGGGATAAAGTGTTGGTACAGTTATCAATAAATAGGTTCGTAAATTTCTGTCATTCAGACATTTTTATTGACTAAATATTCATAATACTTGAAAAAATTAACTGCCTGGCTCTAAACAAAGTTGTAATCTCTGATAAAAGTCGAATCAGTTTATACGTTTGAAATCTTCAAAACTCTTGTGTAAAGCCATGCTGGTAGGTTAATGCAGGATTTCTTTAATTCTCCAGGCATCCCCCTTTTTTCATTTATTATTTATTTTGAAAGAACAATAATTGATTTCAGAATGGTTTATGTGGTGACATTGTTGATTAGTCTACCAGGAAAATATTTTCTACTAGCACACGAGATGTCTAAGTGATTTTACGATAAAACTTATTTCCCTTATAATTTAGTCTGTAGAACACCACTAAAAATTTCGCTATGAAATTTACAGTATGATAAAAGATATCTTTTACTCAATTGAAACTGCTGATCGCTCTCTGAAAAATGGTTCCCTTTACCTACACGACATGATATCCACAATTTCACGTCCGTTCTTGTGAGCTTCATCATAGAAAATACATCGGCTTTTTTTTTTTTTTTTATTTCACAAAATATTGTCCTAGCATTCAGCAATTTTCAATAAGCTGACTAATTCTTTTATAAATAACTTTTTAAGAATTTGATATAATATTACCTTTGGTAACTTGATCTACTCGTTTGTTTGTTGTCCGTATATATCATCTGAAACGACAACCATTGAATAAACGCTTTTTTGATCGGCATAAGGGAGGTAATCGAGGTAAAGTTGCGTATACGGGAATTTCAATATGAAAACAAAAACATGCTAGCGCTGTTTTTTCTGATAATATCGTGCACGCATTTTTAGGAAATCACCCTTATATGATAGTTTATATTATTCGTTAACAACTACAGAATATCATACCCTTAATGAAGTACGTTCTTTGAAAAACAAAGGGGTGGGTGTTTCATATTTCATACACAATGTGAGCATCCTTTCTTGGATATACATCAAGGATTTGTGTTGGTTATGGATAATTAATCTGTGTCATACTTTTGATACGCCATTCTGATCTGTTTTATTATAAGGGTCCTCAATTATCAATTTCCTGGTGAAGTCTACATTCATAATAATAAATATTGTACACAATGAATGAATTTCCTTGTTAAACTCAGTCATTCTATAAATGTAGGGTTTGTTGAAATGTGTAACTTGGCCTAAAGAAATCACATCGGATTTGAGACAAAATACATGCTATGTTGTATTTGTATCAATCATTCTCCCCCAGCAACTGTAGAAGAACAATCAGTTACAAAACCCACAAAATATCATAAAGTACATTTCTTTAATAGTTAAATCCATTTATCTAAGTTTAAAACTTAGTTATACTTAATTTCCAACACATGAAGTACTTGGAAATCATTTGTACCAAACCTTTAAAAATGAATATAAAAGAAAATAAATAGCATACAATAAGAGAATTTCTAAGAAAGATTTAAACCTGTATTTATCTTCATATAAAATGATTTGTTATGTGACAATGAAAGCTTAAAGCTTTTGATTTGGGAATTCACAATGTAGTATCAATGAATGATAAAACAGTAAATGTCTATTTTGAAAGTTTTATATAGATTTCTGATGAATATTTCTGATCTAAATAATGCCTCACACTTCATTTTGAAAATTATTAAATTGTGCTACACTATTTTTTGAAAACATCCAAATCACATTTATATCTTTAAAATATCTCTGTCTTACATGTTCCAGAATAAAATTGGTTTTTGGTTACTTTTATCCATTTGTGGTAATACCAAACATTGTTTGACTTCAAAGTTTGTCAACTGGTTTATTTCAAATTCACTTTTTAGCATGACACACATCAGCTTAATACTTTGTTAGTTAAAGCTAACAGTCTGTATTGACATCTTTGTAAAAATTGTCACAGTATTCATAAATATTTCACTTTTCGTAGCTTGTAAATCATCATAATAACATGTTTTATCTGACAACTTCCATTTGTATGTTAATCCTTACAAGAAACAAGTACACATTATTTTCCTCTGATTTAATATTTCTATTTCTCTGTTTTCTATCTTCCATCTTCTAGAAACAATTTCTACATTGTTCATTTTTTTGTTATCGTACTGAAAACTGCTTTTTTCCTCAGTTTTTCTTTTATTTCAAATGTGACAGATCATGAATCATCTTATATTAAGAGACATGATTTTCAACACAAGTAATTTTGACTTTCTTAAAATTATACATACGATTTACATTTTCTTTAAACACTGCCTTCCGTCCTTGAAGTTTTGAAGTAGCTAGAAAAACTTGTAAAATTTAGCCCCCTTTTAAATGAACGGTACAGTTTAATCTAGATGTCTACTCATTCTTCAATGATATGTAATATACGGGCTTTGGAAGTGAAGGAATATGATAATTAAAAACAAACTTACGTCAAAATAAAAGCAATATCGATCTTTCAAACGTGTGTTTAATTGATAAGACACTCATTCCAAGGAGCCTGATCAACTGGCGACCATGAAATATGACGTGATGTACAAGCCACCCTGACGTTGATCATGTTGATGAAACGATCTGGCCAATCAGATTCCTCATAGTTTGATAAATGACGTAAGACTTATATGTCGATGCAAACACCGATATTCATTGCCAATATGTTTTAAAAGTTCATTAACATTCCTGCGGATATCTTTTTCTTTTGATTTTTTTTTTCAGTTAAGGATCTGCAAGCAAGACATAATGTAGATACGCATTTCTTTAACGAAACGAGATAAAAGAGTAAATGATTACAATGAAATCGATTACTCTGATCTATCTACCTGCCAAGCAGGTGATTTCAATTGATTTTGATTCAATCCCTACAACAATGTGCAATTGTACATTAAAGCAATTTACTACTTGTTATTAATTATATATAAGCCTTGCTGTGTGTAATTCTAATTCATTCCATTGCAAAATCATTTCGTTTTGGAATAAACAAAAAATGTACCAATACTTATTATCTGCTGGTATTTTGAATAAGACTCAATTACTTTTGCAATTATGTTTTTTTTTAAAAGTTGTTTTTTAATTCTCCAAATAACTTTTAAAAGTCGGCCTCGAAAGATCACTGCACGCAATTAAACAATCAAGATTAAAGATCCAATTTTAAATTTTAAAAAAAATAAACCCTGACGTTGATCCATCGATTAATGTGTAAACATAAAGCGCTATTCATATTCGTTTTCATGTGACCTTGGGCTCCAAAGTTATTGTGAAACTGTCTATTCTAGAGGTGGCGTGAATCAGATGTGGATGCTAAAAAATTCCAAAGATCTTTACGAGTACATACAATCTAAGACTCTCTCATCTTGCAATAGTATTAAAACATTTGACTTTTTTTACACTTTACACAAGTATTCCCCATTCCAAACTAAACGACAAATTGAAAGAGTTGGTTTTACTTTGTTTCATTAAAAAGAATGGCGAACGTAGTTACAAGTATCTTGTCTTGGGCAGGGATAAATCCTACTTTGTAAAGAATCACTCTGATTCAAACAAAAAATTCTCTGAAACTGACATTATCAAGATGCTTGACTTCTTGATTGACAACATATTTGTTACGTTTGGAGGACGTGTTTTTCAACAGACTGTCGGAATTCCAATGGGAACCAACTGTGCCCCTCTTCTGGCCGACTTGTTTCTTTATTATTATGAGGTTGACTTCATACAGGAACTTCTTAGGAAGAAAAATAAGAAGTTAGCAATATCCTTTAACTTTACGTTCCGCTATATAGATGATGTTCTCTCACTAAATAATACAAAATTTGGTGAATATGTTGAACGAATCTATCCCATCGAACTAAAGATAAAGGATACTACAGATACAGTTAAGTCTGTCTCATATCTTGAATTACATTTAGAAATTGACAATGAGGGTCGGTTGAAAACAAAACTTTACGACAAAAGAGATGATTTCAGCTTCCCAATTGTGAACTTTCTATTTCTATGTAGCAACATTCCAGCAGCGCCTGCATACGGAGTATATATCTCCCAATTGATACGATATTCCCGGGCTTGTATTTCCTATCATGATTTCCTTGATAGAGGATTGCTGCTCACAAGGAAGCTATTAAACCAAGAGTTCCAAATGGTGAAGTTGAAATCATCCCTTCGTAAATTTTACGGACGCCATCACGAGTTGGTTGACCGTTATGGAATAACCGTTTCACAGATGATATCGGATATGTTCCTTGTGTCGTAACAACAATACCCTTCCCTTTTCACGAATGTGACCTACCGAATTAGACTATTTACCGGATTTGTAATAACATAAGCAACACGACGGGTGCCACTTGTGGAGCAGGATCTGCTTACCCTTCCGGAGCACCCGAGATCACCCCCAGTTTTTGGTTGGGTTCGTGTTGCTTAGTCTTTAGTTTTCTATGTTGTGTCATCTGTACTATTATTTGTCTGTTTGTCTTTCTATTTTTGGCCATGGCGTTGTCAGTTTGTTTTTCGATCTATGAGTTTGACTGTCCCTCTGGTATCTTTCGTCCCTCTTTGCGTTTCCTAAGAATAAAATATTATAGTAAATAATAATTTTTGACTGTTTCTATTTTATAAAGGTTTGTTTGATGAGATATTCATACACATGATTTCAAGGGTGTTACGTAGAGAAATTGACAGTATATTTCAACCTTATATTTGCCAAATAAACCTGGTAACTAGGAATCAAGCTTTTGACCGATGGACCGACATCTATGTAGTAATTATAACTACAAATTTGCACGTGTATAAAAAGATAAATGCTTGCAATTTTATAAAGTGTGGTGGGGTTTTTAACGAGGTAATGTTATTTGTTATACGGTTCCATGGACTATGATAAGCAGGTGTAGAAACCACAGCAACACACATGACTATAATGAATTAAGAGCAAAGGAAACTAAAAACAAGTCGTTATAACAAAACACGAACAAACAACAGAACGAGCTAATAACATCATGAACATATTGATGTGTCAAAATAGCCGACAGTGAATATTTTCCCGATGTGATCAAAAATAAATGAAAACAACACGTTATTAATGTCATGCGTCCGAAGCAATTTACACTTAGGGATACTTAGAAAATGAGTGAGCGTTCGCGATCTAAGCATGATGTGAGGTCATCTAGAAATAAAGCTTCGCGTGTTTAATATGCCATGAGGGCAGACGAGGCAATGTTTATATAGATGAAGAAGATATGCTTTCTAGTGAGAAAATTATCAAAAATAGAGATAGGAAACCTATTGGGTATGTTACGAAAGAACCAACAGCTGATGAAATGACTTTTCAAAGACTAAGATATATAGACACCCGACATGAATATGTAGTTCAAAGTGTGTCAACGCGCGACGTCCATTGTAAGTTGACAACAAAGTTCGAGATACAACGACCGCCAACGCGGGATGTCCATTGTCAGATGACATCAAAGTACAAAATACAACGACCGCCAACGCGAGACCTTAATTGTCAGACATCAAAGAACAAGATACAACCACCGCCAACGCGCAACGTCCATTGTCAGACGACAATAAAAACTTTCCGTGATATTGCATGTCAATGTCAACCACTGCAATCTTCGCCGATTCCACCAAGGCCACCTACGAAAAAGGTAATTAATCATTTCTTATTTGACTCAAAAATGTCGAAAATTTCTGTATGAAGAGTATTTTCATTCAAATTTTATAGACTACTAAGAACAAACGAATGTGGATCACAAAATGCTTAGTATCAATGTCTAGCCTCGCCCTACAATTCATGACTACGCATTACATGAATATTTTCACTATTTTCAGGCTGATGTGTTGATTTTCTGTACTTTTGAAAAGTGAAAACTGTGAACCGCTTTAGAAATAAAAAAATTTAAAAAAAAGGAAGGTGAGTTATGGCCCCTGAACTAAGGTGATTAGTTTTTCATAGCTCCGTAACAAAATTATAGTCTGCAGATTTCAACTAAACTATGGTATGGAATTGATGTAATGTGTATACAACACATGTTTTCAGTACTTCAGCGACTTAAATATATCAAAACTGATACACAATTCTAGTATTTATTGATGTGTACCGACAAACAAAATCCAAAAGAAGAAAACAAAAAACAAAGACAGGAAAAAAATGCATGTTTTAGTGAACCGAAAGTTGCAGGACCATTTTCGAGTTGTTGAATTCTAAAACTGTTGTTACTGATATAAAATTGACCTTAGAGGCAATGAAATGTTTACATTTTTGTACACCTCAGGTTAAACGTTATATAGATGTGTAGGGTAAAGTACATAAGTCATGTCAGGACTAACGAGTACACAGTCCAAAAATTACAGATTCTAATTTCTAACCTTTTACTATAGGAAGATTTCAAACGGGAGAAAAAATAGTTAATGGTATTTTTTTTGTAGATTTCCTTTCCATTTAAAACTTGTAACATTATGTCATTGATTACTTAGTAAAACATTAACTCATGAGACATAGAAATAAATTTGCATTATACAACATGACTCACATTGATGTGAACAACCGAGTATTCCTTCATGGCACGTTAATAAAAGAAACTTAAACATTTCTTGGTATGATATTCAAAGCAAAATGTATGGATGATATAAACAAGAAATAATAATTTTGTAAGGGTTACCATTTCGTGGTTTTGTCTCTTAACTTTTTTCCATAGGGATTAATTTTCATTGTTTCCAGTATTTGAAAGTATTAATCTTTGGCGGTTAAAATTTCCATGGGGTTTTAAATTCGAGAATAATATTGATCCACGAAATATACGAAATATAAGCCCTAACAAAACTTTCTGCTATAACATATATATAACACATGCTTAATATATAAATCAATGGCTTAATACTTTTTTATATATCAAACAAAGATTTGCGTGGAATATTGTCAAATCACGGTTCAACATGAGAAATGGATTTTTACAACAGCTGAGAGTATAACATTATTTCTTTTATTCCACCTTTAAAAACATTTTAATTTGTAGGCCCAGTTAGTTTATTGTATAGATTTGAGATCACCAACAGAAATATTAGAGCCGAAACTATTTGACGTATTTGAACGTCGTATCGTTTCTCAACCAAAGATAAGAAATTGGAAAAGGTGTGAGCTTCAGCGAATTCAACTCATCAATTAATTTGTGCTTGCAATGAACAGTACTCGATCACGATCTGATTACCCTCCTTGAGCACCTGAGATCACCCGCATTTTCTTGTTGGGTTCGTTTTGCTCAGTCGTATTCTTAGTGTACAGTTTTGCAGATCAGGCCAGCTTATTATTACTAGTAAACCAATTTGATCTGAACATATCTTAAAAGACTGAACAATAAATAATTAAAACAATTTCAGTCTTTCAGTAAAACAAATAATGATAACACAGTAAAATTTACTGTGGTAAATTCAGTACTGTTCAGATAATTCGCTTGCAGTCAAATAAGGTCTGTTTAGTCTGTGTTCAGACAGTTCAGTAGTTGGTATTTACCTGTACAAATACTTACAGTATTACATATTTTGCAGTGGGTCGTCTTTTTGGCTATGTTATAATTTCCTTTTACCGAATCATAACATTGAGAATGGAAAAGGAGAATGTATCAAAGAGACAACAACCCGACCAAACAGTTCGTTATTTTTGTACTATTTGTATATACTGCTTACTATTTTCTAAATAATTGTATGTTAGTCGTGATGATTTTTTCTCTCG